AGTCCCCTCAGGGAAAAGGGCGGCATATAAATAAAGTAAAATCCAAATCCAGGCCCTATGGTGACACTCTTAGAATAGCCGAGATGGGAACTCCAATGGGAAGGCAATGCGATTGACGTGTGTTTCCACTGCAGGCCAAGGCCGGATTAATAGCCGTGAAGGTTCCAGTGGATCTTAGTCACAAAACCAGAGTCTGAACCACACTGCCTTTTTTTTTTTTTCTTTTTCTTTTTCCGTTTAACTGCGTCCAATTCTCAGAAACTGCCTGGCCAAGTCCCTGCAGTTTTCCTGGCAAGGTTTTTCAGAAAGGATTTGTTGCATTGCCTCCTTCCCAGGCCTGGGAGAAAGTGGGCTAGTCCAGGGTCATTCCACTGCTTCATACCCAAGGCAGGACTAGAACTCGGGTCTCTCCGATTTCTGGCCTGATGCCTTAGCCATTTCACCAAACCGGCTCTCATGGAGAAGTTAGCAGGCTGCAAATCAAACATGCCCCGTAGGAGGCTTTTTCTTGGAGGATCTTGCCGCCAAGCCGTAACAGCTGGTTGTAAGAGAGAAGACATCCCCCCCCCCCCAAATTGTCACTTCTGTCTTCTGGAGATACCTGCCCCAAATCCTATTTACCGGCCCGGCCTTTTAATCTACCCAATCTTTCAACTTGGCACTCACCTGTTTGGCTTCAAATTGTTTTCATTCTGTTTTTACTTCACACATGAGTGTTGCTTAAAAAAACATCCTGTGATCCATAGGCTTGGTATTTTCTTGCATTTAAGTGTACCAGACATACCTTTGGGAGGTGTGTCCCAGTTAGTACCGGTTAGTACCGACCAGATGACTTACAAAAGAAGAAGAATTGGAGTTTAGTCCTGGAACTTTTTTCTCCGAATTGGGGTTGATTCGGCAAAACGTCATCCTAGCTCAGTACATTTCCTTAGGATCCTGGTAGCTGGCTAAAGAATGCCCGTGAGCTTATGCTACGTGATCTGCCTTGGCCTCTTGAGCTGCTGAGAGCCGCCCTTTTAGACCACAGATACTTGGTTACACAAGCTGTGCAGAGCAAAACATTCCTAAGTTTGTCAAACTGACCGAGAGCTGAAGAGAGTAATTTTTTTCACAGAGAGATCTAATAATCTAAATCTGGTATCTAACAAAGCCAGGCTTGGCTACCACATAGGGGTCTCGATGATGATGTGGTGTAAATCCAACCCGCCAAGGAATTTCAACACCACCTAATTTTTTTTGGGAACTGCCGTCCCAATACATCCAGGAGAGCCGTTGCGTTCTTTTGTCTCCCATCTCCTCTGTAGTCTTGTCGGAATAGATGCTTATCTGACCTTAGGCCAGAAAGGGATCAGAATGGAATATCAGGATATAAATCAAACATCTTTATTACCGTCTTTGACCAACCCATGATATCAGGATATTGACTGGGGCTAGGAAAATTCAAAGCAAGTTGACTGGAGATCCGGAGCACGCAAGAGGGACCCCACTTGTGGTGGGCCAGTATTTGTTAGAGTTAAGGATTTGGGGGAGCCAGTGGAGTGCTATAAGTAGTATTGAAAATGGGGGAGCCCCAGGTAATTTGTCCTGCAAATCTTTGACCAATCTTTGAAATGATGTTTAGCAACCCTCCAAGGAGCAGCTGTGGTCGCAGACCTGGTAAGAAAAATTCCCAACGTAAACTCCTGTGCTCTAAACCCCCTTTTGTCTCACACAGTGGCTACGCAGCTGACGAAATCACACACTGCATCCGACCACAGGATATCAAGGAGAGGAGAGCCGTGATCATCCTTCGGAAGTGAGTGGCGGGATCTCCGGGAAGGGAAAGCTGTTGGCCTCATTTGCTGGTTTCCGATGCTGGTTTTGGAGTTAGTGCAACTGATGCTGACTCGTTGTCCATGCTTCCCCCCCGTCCTCCTGCTTCTGAGGTGTTGCCTCTTGAAACATTTATTTAAAGAGGGGGCTTCTCGGTCCTTTCTGTGGATCTGTATCCCTGAACCATGAGCAGTTGGGGCTGGGGAAGAGGCCAAGAAAGGACCTCCTTAGTACACATAAATGTCTTGCCTTGTTTCTTTTAAGAACTTGCAACTGGGGTGGTTGGAAGCCTGCTTGGCAACTTCAAGCCACGCAGACTTTCAACACCCAGAATTCCCCAGCAGAAGGCAGAGCCTCTGTTTGAAATTGTGTTTGGAAACTTGAGCCGTTTTATACACAAGGGGAACTTGAATTCAAGTCAGCCTTGTGATTCCACTATGGCATCGTGCTGTCATCCTGCCGATAGTCGCATGCGGTTATCCCAGGATTCCTGCCTCCTGCTATCAAGGTCTTCCGTAGGCTGGAAGTAGATTAATTACTGCTGTAGTCCAGAGGGAAGTCAATGGTGTCATCTGATTTTCGTTAACCTTTTGAGATTAGCGTCTCCGGTAATTTGTATCGGGAAAGCAGCTAGAAAAAGAGGAAAGAGGCTTTGAGACTTGCATAGTAATAATTACCTTGCCCGCTTATACCTCGTCATTATGCTCCCGTAAGCACTTGAGGTTACAACAATGGATCAAAAGCCTAGAATATAAACTAAAATTATATCCGAAACTAAACCATGAAGATCAACAATTGAAAGCCTTTTATGGAAGAGTGGCAGCTAAAGGCATCTTCCCGCAAAGCGCATTCCAGCGCGGTGTTGCTTGCTGCAGCCATACCTGTGCTAGCCAGGTTGATTTCCTTTGTTGATCTCAAGCACCTGGGCAGATTCATAGCGAGAGAGGTCTTCCTTCGTTGCTTTTGCACTTGTGATGCCTGCGCCAACATCTTGAGTTGTGCGCGTGAAGCCTCCGGCTGCCAGACAAATCTTCTGGCGCACCTTCGGCCGGTCAGCACTGGCCCTGCGCTTATCCAGCAGTGCAGCACCGCACTGCGTGCCAAGATCGGTGCGCACGTCTCGGTCGTCTGGAGATCCGGCCTTTTGCCAAGAGAGACGAGAGAGAGAGAGAGCACGTTGCGTGGAAAGGATCTGGCATGGATGGAGTGGAAATTCCCTTCAGCTGCCTGGTTACCGTGTGGACATAAACACTTCAGGGCAGCTGAAGGGGTTTTTTTTGGGGGGGGGGGGGGGGGGCTCTTCTTCCAAGTCAGGAAAGTCGTCGATGAACTTGGAGCAGAACAAAAAAAATGTGCCCCAGTTTATAGGGTAAACAAGAGACCAAAAACCACTTCGGTGCCCTTTGGTCCTCGGTGGCTTCTGCAAATGATTGTGTGAATTTTCCGCTGTCCTCTTCTTACTGGGAGGCAGAACTTGGGTGCCTGTTTGAATGTTAAGGTCGGCACTGACATTTCTAAGGGCGTTTCGGTTTCAGGGCCATTGGTCACTTTTCCGTGGCTGCTTCGTCCCTTTAAAATCTCCTAAAAGTAAACCCGTCAGCATGGAGCAGTGGGGCTCTTTAAAACANTGGAAAATGGAGGGAGAAATGGAGGGAGACAAGTAGCCTCTGGTCTTCACTGAGGTAAATATGAAATCTCTGACTACTTCTAAACAGATGCAGGAAGTACAACAACTGGCAGATTCTTCATTTAGTTCCTCCCTTTTGCTTTTGGCATCTAACATTGCAATAAAGGATTTTTCTAATTAATAAAATCTGGAGTAATGGAACCAGTTGTAGGTTGCCAATTTCTTTACTATTGGTTTTTTTTTGGGGGGGGGGGCACTTGCACAGACCGGAGGGCGGAGCTTCCCGCTGCTGCTACTACCAGTTTGCCCAACCAAGCCAAACTGGGAGCAACCCACCTCTGGATGGAACTGAGAAAAGATTTAAGCATTCAGTGACAACTCATACCCTTATAAACACACATTCCTCCACTTTTCATTGAGCCTCCCAAGCAGTCTAAGAAAAGAATCTGGTTTCAGTTCCCCAGATTCAATTCTCAGTGATGGTCACCTCCTTGGGGATTAGACTGAGCCCTTTTGAAATGGGTTCAAGGGCTTTGGAAAACAGAGAAAAGACACAAACATTCACCTACCTTATTGAGCAACTTTAGTTTTGAAAGAACATCTTTTTTGATAGTAAGTCTCTGTCTTTCAAAAAACCCCACAATCTCATTCCTGGGATCCTTGTTAGGGAGAAATATCAAGCTGTCAATGCCCACATCTGCTGCTAAATCTCCATTTTGGTCCAAGTACATTTTGTTCTCAGAAATATTCCAAAACTCATTCTTCTCCAGAAAGGGTTGAAACTAGGATTGAAAAATCCAGGAATTTTTAAAGCACAAAACTTCATTAATTATCCCACATTTGAAGCTTTCTTCTATGGTTCTCTTACTTGTTCACAGCATGTTTTCCCTAAAATAAGACCTATCCTGAAAATAAGCTAGCATGATTTTACGCATGCACCTAATATAAGCCTACCCGCAAATATGCCCTAGTTAAGAGCCTGCACAGTTGGACACCCACCCATTCTAGTTGTGTCAGCGGTGTTCCATGGCTTCCAAAGCTGACAGGTTGCTTGTGCTGCCACAGACACGAGGTAAGGCAAGGCAGTTGGGGGGAATGCTCCATGCGTCCTGCACCGCTTGCCTCAGTGCAGCCATAGCCAGCACCCCATCATGGTGGCAGCATCAGCAGCACCATCCTAACCCATCCAGCAAAAGCCTGTGTGGCCACTGGTACACTTCTGCTTTCTCATGGCTGCAATGGACGAGGAGGCCAAGCTGCTCACCGTTGCCATAGCCATGAGGTGGAACTGCTCCATCTGCCCCGCACCACCTTTTCTCACAGCCCCTGCAGCCAGGCCATCCATGCCCCGACACCTGCCTCATGTTGGTTGCAGCCCCTTCCAAGTGGTATGCCGGTGCCACGGCCACAAGGCGAGGCAGTGGAGGGGGTGGAGCAGGAGGCGAGGCAGATGGGGAGATGGAGCACAAGGCAAGGCAAGGCAGGTGGGGGTGGAACTGTCCCACACTCACCCTGGCTCATCCTAGGGCCACCCACAGCCAGGCCACCCACTTCTAACCCACAATGCCTAACCTTAACCCTAACCTTCAGTGAAATCAAGTTTGACACCCCTGATTTAATGGTAGATTTAAATGGAATTATGTTTTGACACCCACCCCCCGACAAGTTGAGTGCAAAAAGAAAACGCTATTCCAGTGAGGGCAAACTTTTTCGGTGCATGCTTGTTGGGGATGCAATCCGAACGTGGGGCAGCCCAGTACGCATGTGCAGCCCAAAAACTGGACTTCGGGTTTCTGCCTGTTTCTGCCATGTGCATGCCAGAAACCGGAAGTTCAGTACACATGCATGCATGCTGCGATGCTGTTCTTCCAGTTTTCAGTGCTCCCGCGTGTGCGAAGGCAGCTGGCTGGTGTGCATGCATGTACAGGAACCCAGAAGAGGAGATGGCAAGGTAAAATGGCTCTGCATGCCACTTCCGACATGCATGCCATAGGTTCACCAACACAGAGCTATTCCTTCGAGTTCAAGAAAGGAATCATGGAGAACTCTCAGGGCAAGAATCTTAGGGCTTTCTGCCAAGAGAAGAAATTGGATCTCCGTATGGTCCGAAAATAGAGAGCAGAGTATGATAACCTCAATCAACAGATGCACAAGGGAAATGCTAAGAAGCACAAGTATGGATCAGGTCAGCAACCGTTGTTTCCTGAACAGGAAGAGAATCTGTGCGTTGGTTGTGCACAAGGGTGATATTCAAGCATTTCCCCTTGCAATAGCCCCACAGTTAGAAATATCCCCAGAAAAAAATCAAATATATCAACACTGGCTGGATGGTTTCCTTCATCGAGATGAACTGTCTTTAAGAAGATCGACAACACTGTTCAAGCTGGAAGATACTGAACTTGCCAAAGGTGTACTTTCATTCAAGTCCTTTGTCGATGGCATCTCCAAATATCCAACATGATTGCTATGAATGAAACTGAGTACTGATGGGCCAAGGATCTCAAATGACAATTGACAAGAGGGTTGCCCCGTCAATCTACATTCCCTCCACTGGTTGCGAAAGTGCATGTGCTACCTGTATTTTGCCAATTGGTCGGGATAGAAATAAACCCCCACCTCTCATCATCACTAAGGGCAAGAAAACAAAGATTGAACCTGCTTCAAACATTTATGTTCTTGAAACCGAAAAAGCCTGCTGCACACAAGTATTTATAAGGAAGTGGGTCGATTCAGTGCTGCCGCTGGTTGTGGGAGGTGGCCAAAGAGGCATGCTATGGGATTCAGCCGGCACTCACTGCACTAAAGACATGAAGAACTTCTTTGCAGAGAGGAGAATAGGTCAAATAATGATGCAATAAACAAGCCATTCAAACACGTTTTGCAGATGGAAATCAATGACTACATTGAATATAGAATGGAGAGAAATCAGCATGAAAACTAATAATTTATAATAATTTATAATAATTTATAATAATTTATAATAATTTATAATAATTTATAACAATTTATAACAATTATTTATATTTATATTTATATTATTTATATTTATATTATTTATATTTATATTATTTATATTTATATTANCCCCCCCCCGCCCCTTCCCTCGGCCATCTGCAGCCCTCCTGCCCCTTCCCCACCCTCCTTTTCAGCCCCCTTCCCCCTTTGAGGGAATGGAAGCGATAAAGAAACCCCCTGCAACTGTAGGATCTGTCTTAAAAGGGATGTTTGGCCTGGGTGGGGAGATGCTTCTCTGCCCCCAAATAGCTCATCCCTCCTCCTCCTCTTCCTCCTCCTTCTCCTCCTCCTCCTCCTCCTTCTCCTCCTCTTCCTCCTCCTCCTCTTCCTCCTCCTCTGTAGAGT